TGACATTTTTTTTGGTGAAATGCAGGCAATGGAAATCGCGTAACGAAATATGCCAGCACGCAATGTCTGCCAAAAGCGCTGCAGTCGGTCCGACTAACTCACTCTCAGAGAAAAGAAGTAATGAAAAGAAAAAAAATCTTTACCAAAGTGCCATAGGAAGTCGACAAAAAAAAAAAAAAACCGAAGAAGAAGAAAAAATAATGTCGCCTTTCCGTTTTGTTTGTGCTGTCTTCCCACTCTTATCGTGCGTCGGCCCAGCTTGCCAATGTTTTCTATATTTATTTGCATTTACCAGCTCTTGACACATTGATTTAAGCAACAATTTTTGATATATTTATCAATACTTGCTGCCAAGCTAAGTAAAATTGCATTGTTTTTATTTTTCTTCTTCTTCTTTTTTTGGGGCGCTCATCCAACAATTTTCCCCCTTTTCCTCAGCACATTTTTGATTTGGGTTGCGGAAGTCGCTCGTCGTTGTTGCCGTCGCTCTGCCCCTTCGCGGCGATATATGTTGGCCACAGTTTATTCACTTAGTGAACCGTTGAATTTCCGCCCGTTTGTACCGCTTGGCAGGCCTTTACCGTTAGCCATTTTGGCAGAGTTAAGTGTGCTCAATTAGCTAAACACCTCAAAATGCTGTAGACAGACATATTTTGTATTTATAACACATATAGCCTGCATAGACAGATAGTTATTTACATATTGAGACTCGAGGCGTTGCGGTGGCATTTCAATGGTATTGAAGTGCTGCATTTTGAGAGCTTTAAATTATAGATTCTAAGGGCTTGAATAAAAATAAGAGCGCAGTGAAAATAATATGGATCATAAGAGAAATATTTAAGTATTTAATATCTATTTGGTACACTAGATTACTTGCATTCGCTTAAAATATTTTCTCATAACATAAGTAATTTGAGGTGGAGAGTGAAAAGAAGAAATCGTGAAGCAGAATTAAAAATAGAAACTAACTTATGCAGCACTTTTTCTCCTCCATTTTCTTCGCCTTTTTCCTTATCTGTGGGTCTCAATTTCTACCATTCTCTTCATCCTCTCTCTCATTGTATATATGTATCTATATTGCTATTAGATATTCGCTTACTATTTCCTCATATTTCTCTTTCTTTTCATTTCCTTTCAATTCACTTGATTATCTCTATCTCCTTCGCTTTGTCTGTATATCTCTTTATATATCACTGTATATCACTTCATTTCTCTCACTCTCTCAATCTTAATCTGTCATTCTCCTTACCTTAATCTAAATCTGTCTCTTTCTCTCTATCTCTCTCTCTTTCTCCATCTGTCTCTATCTCTTCCTCTTCCTCTTCCAGCATTGCGCAATTTTACTCCCTCTTTCTTACACTCTCTTATATTCATCTCATTTCGCCATTATCATAGTCTATTTGGTTCTTTGTCTCACCATATCTTTCCTCTCTTATCGTTTATCTTCCTCTTTTCTCATTATTTTACCTATCGAGGTTTTCCTTAATATTTTTGAGTGGTTCTCAAAACCTCATTTTGTATTTCTGGTGCTTCAATGCGATTCCCAGCATCTACATAATTAAAATGTTAGCGATTTGTTGGAAATATTATTTAGGTACATGTGATAATAACTGCATTCAAGTCAATTTTGCAAAGAAAAATAAATCAGAAAAAAAAAATAAAAATAAATAAATAAAAGATATTAGTTCAGAAAACTTTGATGTTTGTTTTAAATTATTTGGTTAGTCTTTTGCCCCGGATATTGAATTTAATTTTAAACTATATTTCAGTTAGTTAAACCGTTTGTTTATGATTTTTAATTTTTTTTTTTTTTAAATTAGCAGTATAAATTATTTGTTCAAGCATGAACATGCTTAACTCTTTAGCAGTTTAAGTTTAAAGTGCATTTTCAGTTCCAAAGACTAAACTTCATCCTCGACTCACAATTGTTCAATTCTGAGAAAGTTGTGCTCCCTGGCCACACAGATTGTAGAATTAACAAGACATGAACAAGGACTTTTTTCATATTCCACGCTGGGGCTCACATCAACCGAAATGCAAAACTTGAAGTGCAAACTCTAAAGTAAACTTTCTATTTTTTGTTCTCTTTGTAATATTTTTTGTGTATTTATTTTCTTTATCACTTTCACTACCAAATGGCCAAAGAATTTCCGCACTGCACTAACGTAGATTTATTTGTTCCGCCTTTCGCTTCCGGACGCGTCTGCACACAGTTACAACTGGCCGCGAACTGCGCGAAATGCAAAATGCCGCTGATAATCAAGTGTCAAAATTCATATTCAAAAATTCAAATACAGCCAGGCGCTGACTCCCCGACTCTGGCTACGAGCACGATAACGGGAACGAGAAGGACTCGTCAGTGGTCATGGCGCTGCGCATGTGTCCTGCAGTCTGCCGCAAATCGTGGCATTGCCCGAAGCCCGTAGTCCGCAGTCCGTAGCCCGACGCTGGGGCAGTCGCCAAGGAGTTGACACCGGCTGTTGCTACAGCAGCTGCTAAAGCGACTGCTGCTGCTGCTGCTGTCCTGGGGGTGCCTGGCCAAAGGGTATAAAATAGTAGTAAATATTTCATTCATAAAGTGCATAGCGTAACATTTTCATATGCACGTGTCGTGATGTACGAAGCTGTTGCTATATGTTTGTATGCATGTGTGACACGTGTTCTTGCACTTGCCATTCGAATTGGGTATTTACAATTAAAAACACTGATCAAAGAGCTGTCAATCATTGTTTAACTAAATTAAAATGGGCCATCAAAGGTGGACAAAAGAAACCAAATTAAATTTATTTATATTACATACATAGTTGGAAATGGTTGTAATAAATAAATAACTATATTGAAGAAAGCATTTCTATTGAGTTGTATTTGAATTAATTAATGTTAGAAAAATAGTTGCAAAAATTGTTTATTAATTAAAGACTAAGTAGGTAATTAGAAATAATACATACATTGTATTGTGTTCCCCTAATTGCAAAGAAATATTAGTGTATATACCACATCTTAATCCATTATAAGATATATATTTTTAATAAAATTTTCAAAATTATTTGTAACAATTATAAGTCTTAAACGTATCTGAAAAAATGGTTGGAACAAGCAAGTGTTATTCGTTAAATTAACCTTAGCAAATATTTACAATGACAATAAGTTAATTAAATAATAAATTCTTTATAGGTAATATTAATGTGCGAATTGAATATTTTTTAATGTATCGACAACCAAAAGCATATCAATTTAAAATAGATTTAAAGATAAGATTGATCAAAACTAACTTAAGTATTACTAGATAGATATAATCTTAGATCAGTTAGATTAAATATGATATATAATCCCCTGTAAGTTATCTCAAAGTCAACTAATAAGATGTGCTTCGTCAGTATTTGTTTATCGTTATCGTTGCAACTGAAAACTTTTGCCACCTGGCCACAATTGTTGGCCATAAATTTCTTTGGCAACTTTCTAATTCCTAGTTATGCCCAATATTCCACACATATTCGCTGCTGATTTCCCCACATATCTTTTGTTTACGCATTGCTTTTACTTTTTTGCAATATTCGCACTTTTGCTCCACTTATGAATGTGTGTGTGTGTGTCCCGCGTTAAGTATGCTTTATTATTTGCGCATAATTAGCGCTTTTCAATTTGGAACAAAGTCGAATTTGCTGAGACTTCCCCAGCGAAATCTTTTGACTTTCTGCTTTTGCTGCAATATGCAATTTTCCTTATTGGGCTTTTCCTTTAAGGAAATTCGGCCAAAGTCTGATATATTTTGATTTTTATTAGAGACAAAAGAAATTAAATGAAGAAAATAATGTATATATATATACATATATATATATATATATATATATATATATATATATATATATATATATATATATATATATATATATATATATATATATATACATACATATATATATATATATATATATATATATATATATATATATATATATATATATAAAGTAATTTTCTAATTAAAGTCCAGCAGCCTGGTGCTCTTATTTTTTATATTATACATGGAAAATAAATTGGAAATGAATATTAAACGAAATTTAATTTATTTGATATATTATTCTCATAAAAATTATATTCTTATCAATAAAATTGAATATAAAAAATGAATTAGTAATAATAATAAATTACAATGCATGTCTTATCTTCTATTTCTTATCCTATTTAATAAAAAATAGTTTTATAAATATTCACATTTATTCACATTTTTGTTAAATAATTGAAATCTTATACATTTAGAAGAGGTGAAAGCTATTAGAACAGTTAGCAAATACACTTAACCAATTCAAGCTTTGAAAGCTTGTCGGCAAAAGTTAAGCTTAAAGCCATTCTGTCTATTTCATTTTGTCAAACATGAATTTATTTATGAAACTTGGGGCTTGAAATTTTTTTTTTTTTTTTTTTTTTTTACATATATTTAAAGTAAATATAATATAAATAATATAAATATAATATAAAGTAAATACAATATCTGAAAAAATGTAGTTTTAGATATATAGAAAATATTTTGAATATTATTTGAATTAGTTTTTATTAAATCAACTTAGTTCCTGCATAAATTATTGACATTGCATTTTAAATAAAAATTAAATAATTCAAGCACACCTGTGCGGTTATTTGCTATATATATATATATATATATATATATATATATATATATATATATATATATATATGAGCTGCGTCGATTGAGCCCTGTCCGTCTGTCTGTCTGCGCTCCTTCGCCTTTCCCCTTTTTCGACATTCCCCTCAAGACCACTTCCACTCTGCCCCTCTCCATTCCTCTCACTCTATATCCTATCCCACAAGGTCATTGACCCCTCCTCAAGGTCATTGACCCTCTTCTAGGTCATTGACCCGTCTCTCACTGATCCTCTCACTTCAGGGTATCACCTAGTAGAGCAGTCTCGCCTAGAGCCTTCCTACTTGTTTTCTAAATGTAATATGATACTGTACTCAGTAAATCAATAGACATTGAAGGCTAGAATCACAGCAATTTATTTTTTCTACGTAGGTCGTAAAAGGGAATATATCTCATCATTAGATTTGATGGTGTTTAACATTTGGCCGAACATTCATCTCCTTCACAAATGTCGCAAAGCTTCGATTCCACTTGGTAATATTCAGTTGCCTTCTTGTTCGTATCGTAATAATCATAGAGGACAATCGGGGCGGGCTTCTGATTGGCGACAGCATGAGTCTTGAACGCTTCTATCGGTAGGCACTTGATTTCTCCCTTGGGCAGACTCTCAAAGTAGATGACCACCACAGAGTCTTCATTCTTGGTTTCTACTAGCTGCGTAAAGACAAAACAATAATAATAAAATCGATACATCGGATAGATGATGACTATTGAAGACTTACCCTGACGCGTTCGATGTCCTGTATGTCCTTGAAACTGTCCTCATCTACGGTATAGCCAGAGGGTAGTGAGACTTCCAGTATGGCCATGTTGGATGCTTTAGCCTTGCCTTCCTCTACATATTCAACGCACACGCTGAGCTCTAACTTGGCTGGGGGCGAATCCGGTTTAATAACAGCTTGAATCTTGAAGCTAGGTTTCGGCTCCTTCTCGACAATATTGTACTGGTAGCTGATTTGTAGCAGAGCAGCGCCAGTTCCCTTCGACTCGTACGACAGCGACTTGGTGCCTTGAGGGAACTCCACGGTTTGGAGTAGCAAATCGTTATCTTCTGTCAGGCTGAGCTTCTCAGTCTTTTCCCGCTGACCATGGTTGGAAACGAACACATCCCACCTGGCTGGCTCGTAGCCGGACGTCTTGGCGAACTGTATGAGGGCCTGCAGCCCAGCCACCGTATCCTGCGAAGAAGCAAAACCACCAAAGCTGTTCCGCTGTGCCACCAGCCATCGAATCGAATTAAGCACCGAATCGGGAGTCTCCTGACCCGATTCCAACAGCGAGAGCACTGCATATGAGGTGATTTCAATGTCATGACTCCACACCCAGCACCACCAGCGAGCACATTTTCCGAAGCGCAACTTTTGTTCATCTTCCGTCCACCAGGTGCGATCTTCCTCGTGCTTGGCAAGCGCTTTGAGTGCAGCCACATGCTTGGCGGCATCTGGAGATTTGGCCCTTTGCAAAGCGTAGGTGGCAATGGCCCTGGGCAATAGATCTTCCTTATCATTTGAGTTGGCATTCAGATAGGCTACTGCCTTTTCAATGGCCGTTTGATTAGGCTTCTGTTGCTCAAGTAGAGCTAGAAGTACGTTGGCGGTGATCGTGAGGGCCGAACGTTGTGAGCCGTAGAAATATTCGCCATTTTCCGTGAAGCTTCCGTTGTCAGCCTGGCGGCTGAGTAGAAACTCATATCCACTCTCCAGATTTTTCTCGTCCAGTTTTATTAAATCCCTAATCTGGCCAAATGAGCGCAGTACATAGGCCGTCAACCAGGTGGAACCGTTGCGCTCTGGATCCTCCTCACGCCACTTGCCTGGTCCAAACGAGCTATAGCTGCCATCGTTGTGACGGTAGTGGTACATATTTTGGTATCCCTGCTCCAGATTGCGCTTTATGCGATGCTCCAATTCTGGAGTTAGTTTCTTCATGAACTTCAGATAATCATAGACCAAATAGTTGGGCACAAGTCTGGACATTGTCTGCTCGCCGCAGCCGCTGGGCAAGTGCAGCAACCGTTCTAGGTTCTTAATGACTGGGCCAAGCAGATCGCCAACAAAACCGAATTCGACATGCTGCGAGTCTGGCACAAGTTCCTCTGGTAGATCCAATTCAAAGCTGTCCTTGAACTCGTGCACATCCTTCAAGTTGACGAAGAATGCCCGGTTCTTATATTGCGTCACACCTTCAGGCACTACTTTAAGGGTCTTGTGCACCGCATCGCCGGCAAGAGGGGAAATGGCCGTAAATTTGAGCAGAATGCTGCCAATGATTTTCGGACGCAGAAGGAAGGATGCGCCGGCTGCGGAATTGGCGCCCACGCGCACCGTCTGTGTGCGCTTCTGTTCGCCGAGAACCTCGTTGGAAACATCCACAAAGTCGTACTCGTTATCCTCGTTGCTCAGAGTCACCTCCACGTCCAACTGCTTGGGCAGGTAGTTGAACACCAGAGCGGGCACATTGATCACCTCGCCACGCTTCACTGAGTATGGTAAACGCACGGACACAAAGAATGGCTGGAAAGTCTTAATTTTCAGCTGGTCGTTGGTCACGCCCAAGCCCTTTTCGGGATGCAGTGAGAACGCTGTCAGTACCCAGCTTGTAATCGTATCGGGTATTTTTCGGACCCACTTAAAAATCTCTGTCTTGGTATTTTCAATGTCTTCGAACAGCCAGGTTTCCACAAAGTTTTTTCGTACTACTGGTGCTGAGCCAGGTGCCGCCGCAGCGAACCCTCCTGCGTTCCCAACTAAGGCACCTTCTGCTGCTGCGCTCATTGGAACAGCAGTGCTGAATGCCATGTCATTCGAAACAAGTGCGGTCTTTCGCATAGCTCCACCCACAAAGTTTTCTGCAAATTATAAAATTCGATTATTATTAATATTATAAGACGGTTATTAAAGCAGAATAAAGCGAAGCATTCATGAGTTTTATTAACTTCATTCACACTTCTTACTTTTTTTCAGCTTACGTATGTGATAATCGGGAGCCGTGCGATTATAAAAGAAGTTGGCATTTGTCATGGTCACAACTCCACTACGTTCACCGGGATAGTAGGAGTAACCTCCTTGCCATGGTGTATGGGTGTCATACCGTCCTAAGCGCCAGCCAAATGAATCCTTATTAATGTCGTTATTGCTTCCCAATAGCAAGACACTCTGATCAACAGCCATTAAGCCAACGAATGATTGGGGCGCTGTCTTAATCTCTAGCTCAACATCCGCGCCAGGTTTGACCTCATTCGGAGCAGTTACTTCAATCTGGTTTTGCAGCTCCACATCTGCGTGGAAAGAATCCTCGGCATAGCGGAATTCGCCAGTCTCATCCACATAGTAGACATAAATGCGGCCGTAAGGTGACATAAGGAACGTTGGGGTCAGGCTGATGTTATAGACCTTCTGAGGCTCACTCAGTACGACTCTTTCCGTTTGTAGAACATTTCCACGTCCGATGATGTTGTATACGAAGTAGTTGAGGGGACGACTGGAGTTCAAAGTGACTTGATATTCCTCTCCAATTTTGAGGCTAAAATTAAAGTGAATGGTTAAAAGGAAGGGTTTTCAAATAGATCTACCAATCGAACCTCCATTTGTCCTTAGGTCTCTGCACATCGACCTTAAACCATTCCTTCTCCTTTTCTTCTTCATGAGGTAGAGGTTCAATTTTCTTTGGTTCCCTGTAGGGATAGGTTGTATACAGATCTCGCTCCTCTCCATCAAACTGTAGCTCGATGCTATAGTAACGTGTATAGTTTTCCATATCTGGTAAATCTGGTAACGTGACTTTAAATACAGCTAAGCTGGACTCGTTAAGATGGCTCTCAAACTCAAGCGTTTTATTCTCAATCGACGGTAATTTGGATTCATCGCCATATCTGGAGTGGCGAATGCCCTCGGTGAACTTTGCCTAAAGATGAGCGATTTGATTGAAATGTTAATATTTTGTTTAGCCAATCATTTCCAATCCATTGATAACTTACCTTGACAGGGGTCTTTGTATCTTTAAGTAGGGTACCATCAACAAGAGTGATTTTAAAAATGATCTCGTGCTCTTTATCGGCTACAAATGAATAACAGGAAGTGTAATCCACGCAGGACATTTCGTAGCGATACGGGTAAAGCTGTACGCCGCCCGTTTCGTTGAGTTGTACACCTGTGAAGTCCTCCACAACAGTGGCCAAAATTTTTGCATACGACGACGATGTTTTGTATGGCAAAAAACTAGCAAATTCCTTAACATTAATATCAAATTTCGCCTTGCCGTTGACCATGTCAGCAGTTCGGATGAGAGCGTGCCCCGGCGTGTCTGTGCGGACAGACTCGCCATTTACGGTGGACCACATGCTTGATTCGTCTGTGTGTACATTGAGAAGTACTTTGCCATTTACTGGTTTGCCATAGGTGTAACTGAGTGAACGATTAATGTTATATTCGGCCTAGGAAAAACATGTGCCAAGGTTACTTACTTTGCTTTTACAACAACTTGCATGTCACCATCCTTCACCGATACATGCTTAGTCGAGTCCATTGTGACGGTGTATTTGGGGAGCACGTACTTCTCAACTTCAAAATAGACACGCTCATCCGAATATGAATCGCCATTCTGCACCGAAAGTGTCCATGAGCCCAAGAGGGCAAACTCCGACAACTCGAACTTTCCGGTGTAGACTCCTCCACGCGTCTTGATGTGCTTAAGTTCCTTGATGCGATTGCGTTTCGGATCCTCGAACCACACAACTACGTCGTCCTCGGCCAAACTCGGTTTAAGGTTCTCATCTAGGAAGATTACGCGGTAGTTGACGGTGTCGCCGGGCTTATATTTGCCCTTGTCGGTTTGTAGCTTGACATATGGCTTGAATTCTGCCAAACTAAGCTGCGTGGAGTTCTTGAACTCAAGTCCAGAGACACCCTCTGCGGTTAAGTTATAGTCACCCGACTTAAGAGGAGGCAACGTGAAGGTAATCTGCTTGAACTCATCGGCATTTGGCAACTCGACCGTTTGCGTCTCATTGTACGAGGGTCCCGTAATACCAATCTTCAAGGTAACTGGCTCCTTGGTGTTATGCACGGCGACAGCCACATTGTAATCTCGATGAGAGTGTATGGTTCCCGGTCCAACGATTGTATATTGTCTGCGGTGAGCAACGAAATTAATTATAATCAGTGTAGATTGACGACGATTTCATAATGTTATAATACTAGGTCACCCATAAGCTTAGATTTATTTAATAATTACATGAGTTTATTTGTGTAGCCTAATTTACATTCCAGCTGATTACACTATCAATTGACATTAAACGTATTTTGTTTACATTGTTTCGTTTCCAAGAAAAAGTAAAACACTTTTGGCACATTCCTAACGGTAAATATTCTCAGAACCTGATCTGTAGAAACCTGCTCCGAGTGTCGGTGATGTAATATATAATATATATATAAAAGCGGATGGATTAAACAGAGTTCAAGAAACTGAACTAAGTGGCGAAGTCGGATTTTTAAGGTTATTGCGAAATTGAGGTTTCTTTAATAAATACTATATAGGAATTCATTGTATGTATGTGTGACATTGACTTTGAAGATAATAAAATATAAGTATAAACAAATTATAAGCTGGTTTTTGTGGAGGCATAATTTAGACATGCAAATGTATTTAAAAAACAATAAACGTGATTTGTTTATTTGGTAATGGGGGTTTTTTTTACGACTGTTCTATCATAAAGAAAGGAACTTTTAAAATGCAACTGCTAATGATCTGAGCAAATATACATACACTATATATGGTCTTAGTCACGAAGTGCTAAAAACTATACAAACTCTTAAATAATTCTATAGAAATAAACATTATTATTTCAAGTATACATATTTGTAAAATATTAAATATGTTGTGCTTAAATTGGTTTCTAAAATAACATCATCTACGCATATTGTCAATTTCACTGATCCAATTACCAACTATATTAATGGAATTAATTAAATTGTACATAAAAAACATGACATGAATTTTCAAAATCGTATTTAGTATAAACTCATGATGATTTTGCCCTTGGTAAACCAGCCAACACCAAAAATATGTATATATTTGAATTTATTTAGTACAAAGATAGACAGGAGTTGGACTTACCCATCACATTTGACCGGATCTGCCATATTTAGTAGGGCCAGAGCCGCACAAGCGATGACAGCAAAAGCGCCTGAACGACGCATTTTGTTGGTTTAAAATAGAAATGAACGAAACAGCAATAACTTGTAGTTAAATGTATGTCTATAGATTGTGGTAAGAGTCTATTGGGAATTTAAAAAATAAAATTCTCAATGTGGTTTGCCAAGCGTTGCGACAACCGACCGGGCTCAGAGCTGAGCTGCGACTGGTTGAGCCGGTGACATGCGAGATTTGTTATAGCTTTGTTTGTATGCTTGTTTGTATGTACATGTATGTTCATAAGTAGAAATGTGTGTACGGGGCTTCGGGACTGCAGCCAAGCTAGAGCTGTCGACGCTGACCGCGACAGAAACAGCACAATAATCATAAACAACATAATGTAATAAAATTTTAGCTGATCGTTAAATTTTTCTTTTTTCTAAATTTCAAAACTACATATACATACATGTACAATATTCATTAACAAAATATATGTACATATAAATTAATATTTACATATGTATGTATATATATATATTGTATACATTAATGAAATAATTCGAAAATTAAATTACTGATAATCTCGCATTGATGGCCGAGCACTTAAGCCTTTAAGTACAATATAATATAATCTTTATTTTATATGTGAGTCACACATACAAGTAATTTGTAATTGTAAGCGAATAGCAACTAGACGATTAGTCAGGTCAATTTTTCTGTATGTAAACTCGAATTCAGGAATAGATTCTATAAATGATTTCACACAAAACATTTCACAACAAACCTCACGCAAATTTCTTGATAAATGTGTAAGTTGAGTACATTCATACATAATCTTCATTTAAATGCAGATAAGTGTTTCTACAATATCATGGATTTACGTATGTATGTAGAGAGTATACTAATGTATTTATCATGCCATAACATGCAAATGGGTAATTAAATTTTAAAATTCAATGTATAATAAACTCTGCAAAACAAATTTAATTTCACTTTTGTAATTAGCACTTTAATTGTTATATATTTAGCGTTCATTAAAGATTCAGTTTTTATCGCGTGCACAATAGATTCTCTAGGTTTTTCCTGTTTCAATAGGTAGGCACATATATATCTACACACGTACACAGGAATGACATGTATATGCTGTATGTGTGTAAAATATTCACAAAAACTTAGCACAAATTAAAATTATTGACGTACTTTTGTACTGTGGAATTCCCAGAACTGATTTTTCCCGTGAACCACAAAATTTGTCGCTGTTTGGTGAACAAATGTTCAGCGATTTGTTTACGGTTTACAAAATGGTTTGCTGTTGACTTGTTGGGTCTTTATCTTTATTTCTTCATTCTCGAAATAAACTTGCTTTTGTTAATGAAACACTCGACGCACTAATGGGCGTTTCGATCGGGAGTGCCAACCAAACCGGCGGATGGCACAAATGTCAGCTGGTATCTGAGAAATTCTCTCAGTTGCTCTTTGTTTTGACCTTCTCTCTCCGTTTGTGGCTGTGTGTTTGTTTTTATTACTATGGGAAATATTCTCTTCAATGACGTCATCTTCTGAACTACGCTGTGTATTTCACATTGATACAGTAAACAATATTTCGTTCGGTCTGTGGCAAATGGTATTCCCCATTTCGAGTGAAAGAGAGGGCCTAACACTCAACCTATTAAACGAAAAATTAAACATTTCTTGATTGATTGTTATATATTTATGTATATATAAATAATTCATGACATGTCTTTGATATAGATAACAGATAATCTACATGAAACATTTAACAATTCTCATATCCTGAACTCATTTAAAATGGAAAATCAAGGTATAATTTTCTTGTTAAAATGTATGTATATAACAGGCAGAATGTATATACATACATACATATGGATGTATATTCTTCTTAAGGGCGACTAGCCAAATCGATATAGCCATGTAAGTTAGTCCGTCCGTTATAACGCTGAGACCTCGTCAACCACAAAAGCTAGAGACTTGAAATCTGGAACATACACTCGTATATGCCCTCAAATTATAAAGTTTTAAAATTTTTTTATATGCCCACTAGAGGCGTGGCAAATCGGAAAACGTATTTACCGATATACCAGATATCTTATTAGTTAAACAGCTAGAATGTAGATTCTCGTTGACAACCCAAGATAAAAAGCTATGGCGAATATATATCAACGCTCATTAGGGGCGAGGCAAATCGGTTAAAACAAAATTTTAGATCTAGAAACTCAAAACTCATCGACCAAATTTCGATTGCATCGAATGCTCTTATATATGTATATGTTACAATTTAGGGGTGTAAGACCATTATCGTTTAAAATATAACAAAAGTTGTAAAGTAAATAAGCCCCGATATAAAATAAGTAATATAGCTAAGATATAATAAGAAGTAATAAGCTACAGCGATATATATGATCATTCCTTTATGTATTTATGCAAATCAATTAACAGTGTTATCGAATATCATATGATTAAAGTAGTTAAAAGCATATAAACATGTTATTCGATAAGTTGCTGTTTAGCACTTTGTCGAACATTCATCTCCTTCACAAATGTCGCAAAGCTTCGATTCTACTTGGTAATATTCAGTTGCCTTCTTGTTCGTATCGTAATAATCATAGAGGACAATCGGGGCGGGCTTCTGATTGGCGACAGCATGAGTCTTGAACGCTTCTATCGGTAGGCACTTGATTTCTCCCTTGGGCAGACTCTCAAAGTAGATGACCACCACAGAGTCTTCATTCTTGGTTTCTACTAGCTGCGTAAAGACAAAACAATAATAATAAAATCGATACATCGGATAGATGATGACTATTGAAGACTTACCCTGACGCGTTCGATGTCCTGTATGTCCTTGAAACTGTCCTCATCTACGGTATAGCCAGAGGGTAGTGAGACTTCCAGTATGGCCATGTTGGATGCTTTAGCCTTGCCTTCCTCTACATATTCAACGCACACGCTGAGCTCTAACTTGGCTGGGGGCGAATCCGGTTTAATAACAGCTTGAATCTTGAAGCTAGGTTTCGGCTCCTTCTCGACAATATTGTACTGGTAGCTGATTTGTAGCAGAGCAGCGCCAGTTCCCTTCGACTCGTACGACAGCGACTTGGTGCCTTGAGGGAACTCCACGGTTTGGAGTAGCAAATCGTTATCTTCTGTCAGGCTGAGCTTCTCAGTCTTTTCCCGCTGACCATGGTTGGAAACGAACACATCCCACCTGGCTGGCTCGTAGCCGGACGTCTTGGCGAACTGTATGAGGGCCTGCAGCCCAGCCACCGTATCCTGCGAAGAAGCAAAACCACCAAAGCTGTTCCGCTGTGCCACCAGCCATCGAATCGAATTAAGCACCGAATCGGGAGTCTCCTGACCCGATTCCAACAGCGAGAGCACTGCATATGAGGTGATTTCAATGTCATGACTCCACACCCAGCACCACCAGCGAGCACATTTTCCGAAGCGCAACTTTTGTTCATCTTCCGTCCACCAGGTGCGATCTTCCTCGTGCTTGGCAAGCGCTTTGAGTGCAGCCACATGCTTGGCGGCATCTGGAGACTTGGCCCTTTGCAAAGCGTAGGTGGCAATGGCCCTGGGCAATAGATATTCCTTATCATTTGAGTTGGCATTCAGATAGGCTACGGCCTTATCAATGGCCGTTTGATTAGGCTTTTGTTGCTCAAGTAGAGCTAGAAGTACGTTGGCGGTGATCGTGAGGGCTGAACGTTGTGAGCCGTAGAAATATTCGCCATTTTCCGTGAAGCTTCCGTTGTCAGCCTGGCGGCTGAGTAGAAACTCATATCCACTCTCCAGTTTTTTCTCGTCCAGTTTTATTAAATCCCTAATCTGGCCAAATGAGCGCAGTACATAGGCCGTCAACCACGTGGAACCGTTGCGCTCTGGATCCTCCTCACGCCACTTGCCTGGTCCAAACGAGCTATAGCTGCCATCGTTGTGACGGTAGTGGTACATATTTTGGTATCCCTGCTCCAGATTGCGCTTTATGCGATGCTCCAATTCTGGAGTTAGTTTCTTCATGAACTTCAGATAATCATAGACCAAATAGTTGGGCACAAGTCTGGACATTGTCTGCTCGCCGCAGCCGCTGGGCAAGTGCAGCAACCGTTCTAGGTTCTTAATGACTGGGCCAAGCAGATCGCCAACAAAACCGAATTCGACATGCTGCGAGTCTGGCACAAGTTCCTCTGGTAGATCCAATTCAAAGCTGTCCTGGAACTCGTGCACATCCTTCAAGTTGACGAAGAATGCCCGGTTCTTATATTGCGTCACACCTTCAGGCACTACTTTAAGGGTCTTGTGCACCGCATCGCCGGCAAGAGGGGAAATGGCCGTAAATTTGAGCAGAATGCTGCCAATGATTTTCGGACGCAGAAGGAAGGATGCGCTGGCTGCGGAATTGGCGCCCACGCGCACCGTCTGTGTGCGCTTCTGTTCGCCGAGAACCTCGTTGGAAACATCCACAAAATCGTACTCGTTATCCTCGTTGCTCAGAGTCACCTCCACGTCCAACTGCTTGGGCAGGTAGTTGAACACCAGAGCGGGCACATTGATCACCTCGCCACGCTTCACTGAGTATGGTAAACGCACGGACACAAAGAATGGCTGGAAAGTCTTAATTTTCAGCTGGTCGTTGGTCACGCCCAAACCCTTTTCGGGATGCAGTGAGAACGCCGTCAGTACCCAGCTTGTAATCGTATCGGGAATTTTTCGGACCCACTTAAAAATCTCTGTCTTGGTATTTTCAATGTCGTCGAACAGCCAGGTTTCCACAAAGTTTTTACGCACCTTAGGTGCAGGGGCCGACCCCGGCGCTGCCGCCCCTAATCTGACTGACTCTCCAAGGCCCGGCACCATTTGGGATGTAGAAAAGTACACTTGATTGTGCGTTACAAGTGAAGTCCTCTCGAAATCACCTAGGTAGGGTTCTGTGAAGTAAATCCATCAATTTAGATACTATTTTTGATAATACGAATTAAAATCACATCTTAATTTGAATATTCTGTCTTAATTTATTCTTACGTTGATGGTTTGTGGGAGCCGTGCAATTATAAAAGAAGTTGGCATTTGTCATGGTTACAACTCCACTACGATCTCCGGGATAGTAGGAGTAACCTCCTTGCCACAGTGTGCGCGTATCATACCGTCCTAAGCGCCAGCCAAATGAATCCTTTTTGATATCGTTATTGTTACCCAGAAGCAAGGCACTGTGATCAACAGCCATTAAGCCAACGAATGATTGGGGCGCTGTCTTAATCTCTAGCTCAACATCCGCGCCAGGTTTGACCTCATTCGGAGCAGTCACTTCAATCTGGTTTTGCAGCTCCACATCTGCGTGGAAAGAATCCTCGGCATAGCGGAATTCGCCAGTCTCATCCACATAGTAGACATAAATGCGGCCGTAAGGTGACATAAGGAACGTTGGGGTCAGGCTGATGTTATAGACCTTCTGAGGCTCACTCAGTACGACTCTTTCCGTTTGTAGAACATTTCCACGTCCGATGATGTTGTATACGAAGTAGTTGAGGGGACGGCTGGAGTTCAAAGTGACTTGATATTCCTCTCCAATTTTGAGGCTAAAATTAAAGTGATTGGTTAAAGGGAATGGTTTTCAAATATATCTACCAATCGAACCTCCATTTGTCCTTAGGTGTCTGCACATCGACCTTAAACCATTCTTTCTCTTCGTTGCGTGATAGGGGTTTAATTTTTTTCGACTCTCTGTAGGGATAGGTTGTATACAGATCTCGCTCCTCTCCATCGTATTGTAACTGAATGCTATAGTAACGTCGATAGTTTTCCATGTCTGGTAAATCTGGTAACGTGACTTTAAATACAGCTAAGCTGGACTCGTTAAGATGGCTCTCAAACTCAAGCGTTTTATTCTCAATCGACGGTAATTTGGATTCATCGCCATATCTGGAGTGGCGAATGCCCTCGGTGAACTTTGCCTAAAGATGAGCGGTTTGATTGAAATGTTAATATTTTGTTCCAATCATTTCCAATCCTTTAATAACTTACCTTGACAGGGGTCTTTGTATCTTTAAGTAGGGTACCATCAACAAGAGTGATTTTAAAAATGATCTCGTGCTCTTTATCGGCTACAAATGAATAACAGGAAGTGTAATCCACGCAGGACATTTCGTAGCGATACGGGTAAAGCTGTACGCCGCCCGTTTCGTTGAGTTGTACACCTGTGAAGTCCTCCACAACAGTGGCCAAAATTTGTGCATACGACGACGATGTTTTGTATGGCAAAAAACTAGCAAATTCCTTAACATTAATATCAAATTTCGCCTTGCCGTTGACCATGTCAGCAGTTCGGATGAGAGCGTGCCCCGGCGTGTCTGTGCGGACAGACTCGCCATTTACGGTGGACCACGTGCTTGATTCGTCTGTGTGTACATTGAGAAGTACTTTGCCATTTACTGGTTTGCCATAGGTGTAACTGAGTGAACGATTAATGTTATATTCGGCCTAGGAAAAACATGTGCCAAGGTTACTTACTTTGCTTTTACAACAACCTGCATGTCACCATCCTTCACCGATACATGCTTAGTCGAGTCCATTGTGACGGTGTATTTGGGGAGCACGTACTTCTCAACTTCAAAATAGACCCGCTCATCCGAATATGAATCGCCATTCTGCACCGAAAGTGTCCATGAGCCCAAGAGGGCAAACTCCGACAACTCGAACTTTCCGGTGTAGACTCCTCCACGCGTCTTGATGTGCTTAAGTTCCTTGATGCGATTGCGTTTCGGATCCTCGAACCACACAACTACGTCGTCCTCGGCCAAACTCGGTTTAAGGTTCTCATCTAGGAAGATTACGCGGTAGTTGACGGTGTCGCCGGGCTTATATTTGCCCTTGTCGGTTTGTAGCTTGACATATGGCTTAAATTCTGCCAAAATAAGCTGCGTGGAGTTCTTGAACTCAAGTCCAGAGATACCCTCTGCGGATAAGTTATAGTCACCCGACTTAAGAGGAGGCAACGTGAAGGTAATCTGCTTGAACTCATCGGCATTTGGCAACTCGACCGTTTGCGTCTCATTGTACGAGGGTCCCGTAATACCAATCTTCAAGGTAACTGGCTCCTTGGTGTTATGCACGGCGACAGCCACATTGTAATCTCGATGAGAGTGTATGGTTCCCGGTCCAACGATTGTATATTGTCTGCGGTGAGCAACGAAATTAATTTTAATCAGTGTAGATTGACAACGATTTCATAATGTTATAATACTAGGTCACCCAGCTTAGATTTAATTTTGATATGATTTGCATTGCCCAATCGGCTTTTTGAATTCAAATAAATTATGAATGCTGCCGCCGAGCACAGACTAATCTGCATACATCAATATTTTAGTTTTGCGTTAGGTCGTTTTGCATTATCAATTTAATTTATTTTTGAATTGGTAAATTTCCATCAACAGCTCTTATATTCATGTATGCTGTGTTTTAATGAAGCTTAACGTCTAACTACATCTAAAACTTAATCCCATTTGTGTTTGGGTATAAAATAAGCATTTAAAGAGAATCTGCCTATGAGTAGAAATAATTAAAAAGTGCTAATAATTATACAACCCTTAAACTTATTATGAATTGTTTAAGTTTTGTAATCAATTTAAAATGTAAACTTTAAACAGGATTTTAAAAGTTAGTTCTCTGATTAATAAATTACATTATCAATAAATTCGTGTGTAAAAAAAAAAAAATTAAATTGAGATGAAATTAAAGAATCTAAATTAGCATGTAGTTTTTGTTAAGCACGACTTACCCCTTACTTTTTACCGGATCGGCCATAGTTAGAAGGGCCAAAACCGCACAAGCGATGACAGGAACAGCGCCTGAGAGACGCATTTTGGGTGGCTTAAATTGAATTGAACAAGAAACAATAAGGCGAGAATCAATTGGAAATATATAAAAAAAAAAGTTCTAAAGTTGATTTGCGAACCGTTGCGACAACCGATCGGGCTCAGAGCTGAGCTGCGACTGGTTGAGCCGGTGATATTCGGGAATTAATAAGTAGTCGAATTTTTCTAGGTATGTATTATGTACATATGTCTGTATGGAACTAGCATTGGGCATTGATGCTATCGGTAATTAAAGCAGAATTATATATATATATATATATATATATATATATCATCATATATATATATATATCATATATATATATATATATGATTAAAATTATATATATAAGTGAAATAATTTTAATCACAGTGCTAGACTAGGACTAGGAGCAGTTATTATAAAATAATAATTTTCGTATTTTGAATAAACTAGATTAATGTCATCTAATCTTTAATTAATAAGAAAACAAAATACAACAATTAAATATTAAACGCAAAAAAAAAATTAATAAATTACTGACAGATTTTACTTAGTAAAAAACTGAATAATTGATTATTCACACAAAAATAAAGATTAATAAGTTCGTTACCTTTGACCTTGACGAGTCATTTTTATTATAAATTATACTAATCTCAAAAGAGAATTATAGTTATAGGTATATGCATACATATGCATACATATATGCATATATACAAATGTATATTTAATGAGCTAAATTATCGATAAGAACTGTGAGTAGAAATCATAAACGAATTCGTAGAGCTGAGATACTTAATTAATTAAATGTGCGCATGGAGAAAGGTGTGCAGATATAGACAGCAGTTCTATAATAAATATAATAAAAAATAAAAAATAAATTTGACAATTATCAACTTCATTTATCATCTTGTTTTTTTTTTTTTGTTTCTTTATTTTTTGGTTTATTTAATGCGTTAATTTCGCTAGAAAAATTTAATGTCAGCTCTCTGATGCTTAAAATTTGGAATTTAATAATAAGTTTGTTATCTTATTTTCTGTTTCAACAAATATTTTTAGTAGTCTAGAATTCCCAAAATTTATAATATTTACTTTTTTATTCGTATTGTTCTAATCTATATATATATATATATACATTTAATTAATTAAGTATATATATATATATATATATATATATATATATATATATATATATATATATATATATATATATATATATATATATATATATATATATATATATATATACATATATATATATTTTTTTAAATTGGGATGTTGAATGTATTGTGTTAATTAATATTTAACAATCCAATCCATTTCCAATCTGTATGAAGCTGAAGTTCTGATATAGGGTAAGCTATAATTGATATCTCTTCATTGCCTGTGAGTCTTAGATACAATGCAATCACTTAAAATTGGAAGAAATTTATGCTAAGATAAATTTAAAAAAAGCTAAAAAATCTAGCTCTAGCTTCACTACCGGCGAAAAAAATTGTATTTAAAAAGTAGACTACAATAAAGAAATATTTTGTTTTTTTTTTTTTTTTTTTTTTTTTTTTTTTTTTTTGGAGCCAGTTGTACTGTATCCAGAATAGTTTTTATTGCACCATTTTGATGCCTATATAGGTGAAGAAGACAATGGAGCAGCCAATGATTGAGTATTGCAGCTTATGGGAAGCGAACTCCCGAGAAGTTTTAGCCAACATAGCGAGTATGAAGCGCCAGAAGTTGCGACGTCCATGACGAGCCGTATGTGGACCACATACTCGCCTATCGCCATAGCTATTCAAATCCTTCATCACCGCATCAGCTATATATTTTTTGCGTTCCTCCGCCTTCGCATAGTCCATGTTCACATAGTTGATCGTGCATAGCACTCGCTCCGATGAGACCTGGCCCTCACGGTCCATATTTGTGCACGAACTGGTCTTCCGCTCTCCACAATTGATGAAACGTTCGGCCGCATGTAGCTGATGCTTCATATCGGGTTCCAGGTCCGTCTCTGCGACATGCGTTTTAGGATCGAGTTTATTCTCGACATTACTGCTGGTTAGAGTTAGATATTCCGAGGCCGTCACTTGGCTGGTACTCGAATCGGAGTAGTATTCCACGCTCGATGAGGATGCACTCGGTTTCCTTGCCAGGGCAATGTTGGAGGTGCGATCCTGTGGACGCAGTAGATGCAACTGTGGCTGCCCATCGGGCTGCGAGTGTATCTGGTGCTGGAACTGCTGCTGGAAAAATAACGGTATCTGGTAGCCATACGTTAAGTTTGGCTTCCTCGTGGCCTGTCGTTGCCGCTCGTACTCGTATTGTTCCTGCTGCTGGATGAGCTCCTGGTCTTGGTCCTGCTCCAGCTCCCGCTGCTGCTGCTGTTCTATAGTGTGGCTTCTTCTGTTGTACATCTGCTGGCGCTCATACTCGTACTGTTGATACTGTTCATACTCCTGCTGCTCCCGTTGCTGCTGCTCGTCATCGTCATATTCGTTGGCCGTTTGCTCGTCCTCGTCGTCCTCCATGTCGATCTCGTTGTACTCCAGCTCGTCTCCGTCGTCAATAGCCAGAGCCCTGTGCTCTAGCTCCTGCTCATCACCTCCTCTGTGCCGCGGAGGCAAGCGCACACCTCGGAACCTTGAGAACAGCATCCGATTGTGGACATCGCGAAGTCTGTCATCCTGTGACCAAAGATTGCCAAAGTACGACCGATGATCATCATTGAAGTTGTACATTAGATGACGCGCCCGCCATTTGGCACGCTCGGCAATAATGGCCACGTGCAGCCGCCGCTCCAAATGGCGCCGCTCCACGGGCTGGCGTTCGACCACATTGTAGTTGTAGCACAGAACATCCAGCTGGCTGCCAGTCAGCTGCTGCACTTGGTCCATGGTGGATGGCATGGTGTTGGCTCCGTTTTTTCTTTTCTATTTTTTCCCTATTGATTGACTGGCGTCGACAGAGTTTCCCTACACCTCGAAGTATGTAAATACAGTTCTGGAGATTTATTTGGTTTCAAATGTCCAGTCCGCCTTTTTACCGTGAATTTTGATCTGCTCGATGCCATCAATTTAAAAAATTTTTATTTTAATTTTTTTGTTGTCAATTTTTAATTTTTTGTCATTTGGTCAAGAGATAAATTTCAATGCCCTATAATATTTTACTTGAGTTATTATTTTTATGCCAAGATTTATATCGATTTTATAGCTCTTATCATGAATAGCGAAAGTATATTTTTCCTATTTTAATTTATTCCAAATTTTATATGTCCTGTACCACAAGTAGTTGTGGTGTTGAGATTTTTCCGATTCGCCACGGATGGTGGGGCAACTTTCAATAGCAACAAAATGTTTTACGATTGGACGGATGACGGTAAGATGGATGTTGCAAAAAACAATGTACTCTTTTCATTGCATACGATATTATAATGAGATATTAAACTATCTGAATTTCCAAATAAAAATTGCAACAAGGGCTCGATTTATACCGAAATTAAGCTGAGCTAAGATTACAGATTTTTATTTCGCTATTTCTGCCGTATACATTTTTACTCTCTTGGCTGACAATTCTTTTTTAAAGATCTTGTCTTATTGGCTATTCTTTGATATCCCTTCACTTTGTTCGTCGATCAATCACCGTATCACTTGAACTTTCTGAATTCAGTTTTATCACAAATTATAATAGTATGAACAGCACTGTTTGTGACTTAACTGTTAGGTTACTGCTCTCCCAACATTTATTTTTGTCGTTGAGAATATTATACATTCATGTTGCTTTACACACGAGACGTTAAAATTTCACCAATGCATTTCCAAGTTTCTTGATTCAAATCAGAGTTCAGTGCATTCTTTGATAATGAGTTTGCGTTAGACCAGAACTATATAAGAGACATTCTGGTATTCTGTATCTGATATCGTTCAGAGAATTCGATGTACTTTTTCTGGTCAGGTGAGTGTTACCACAGGTTTTTGCATAGAGGCAGTTCTCTAATATGAACTTGCTTGCATTCCAGAAATTGAATGAATTCAGAAGATATGGGCTGTTGCTCTCTGAAGGACACTCAGCTGAACTATCAAAAAGTCAGGAGAATAAAGCAATGGAATCATCTAACTATATCAATGCTTAGGCTAATGATCTTCCTTTTTATGCTCGATGCTTCCTTAGTGTACGCTAAATACGCGTCATGGAGCATTGAAGATCCCGACTTTGACACGAAGCATGAGAAGCTCGGACAACCCCACTATCCATATGCCGAGCTCACCGAATATTACTCGAGCCCTAAATATAAAGCAGAACCGATATATAATGCCTTTGGTATGATGCCATTTCACTTGATCATACGTATTTTATTCAGCAAAACTTCAAGAGTACCCAATGGTAGTTTGAAATCCTAGCTAATAGATACATAACTAAAGTAATCAATGTAATTTATATTGCTATAGAGTATATAACGGTAGTTAATGGCACGAATGCCCTGGCCTTCGGTGAGAAGTCTATCGCAAATTCGTGGGCCAGTTTGCTTTGCTGCAACAAATTGGCGTTTGTCTGGACAATTTTTTTGTTATTTCTCATAATTGTCATACCATTCGTTGCGTAAGTAATGTATGGGAAATCGGTGTATATGGTTTTGATTTAAAAAAAAAAAAAAAAAAAAAAAACAAAAATAATAACAATAAATAAATATTAATATATATTTATACTTTTTAATATAAATAAAATCTAACTAATCTAACTATATCTTACTAATAATAAAAAATGTATATAGGATCACCTATTTTTGCTTTTGCTTCTACCGTTGCCCCACTGTGTGCGAGTGTAATGAATATGCGGATCGTCGGATGCGTCACTTTTGGAGCGTGGGGCTAATGCTTCTTATAGTCGTTCTGGTGTAAGTTTTACATGTAAACCTACTAAGAACTATATTAAAATTATGAAATACAGCTTTGGTTTAATCGTGGTAATGTTAAATGATAAGTTAATTGATCAAGGCGTTCGGCGAAATTGGGCTGATATGCAAGAAGATCGTAAAGATATTTGCACATTTTTGAAAGATATATTGGATAATATCCATCATATTTTTGTGTACAACTTTGAGGAGTTCGAAACGCATATAAATGCTCAGCTGAATGGTAAG